GCAGCAGTATCACGGAGGGGATCGGGCAGGGCCGCGTTACGGACAATCTGTCGCCGGATATCGGGCTGCTGGATGGGTCGTTGAATATTCCCGATGAGAAGTCGATCGAGATGGTGTATCGGTGTCTCGATGAGGAGGGGCTGTACCTCGGGGCCAGCTCGGCGCTGAATGTCGCTGCTGCGCATGAGGTTGCGCTGAAGCTGGGCAAGGGCAGCACCGTTGTCACGATTCTGTGCGATGGCGCGTACCGGTACGCCGACCGGCTGTTCTCGAACTCCTGGCTGCAGGGCAAGGGGCTGCGCACGGCGGTGCCCAAGCATTTAGAGAAGTACATCGTGCTGCCTTAGGGGGAAGGAGTTTGTATAGTAGACTTGTGCATAGATAACGAAGCATTTTGTGTTCATCCGGTGTATCGGTGGGAGTTTGTATAGTAGTTTGAGGATGTGATTGGATAATGGTTCATGTTTTGTTTATCCGGTATATCGGTGGGGAACTGGTAATACTATACAAGAGTAGTGAGTCCATAGACCTAACAAAAGCAAAGGCGCGGCAGCCCAGAAAGAAAGCACAGACGCACCAACGAACAAACGCCATCATGCACCCATTTCTATCCCGAAGAAAAGAATCAACGCCGAACCCATGTATAGAACATGTACAAGTAGCACCACCACCCCCAACCCCCAACCCCTCGCAGCTCTCATCTCCAACCACCCCCTAAAACTGACAGTCTAATCATCATCCGCCGGCATCCGCATATAGGCATCAATCGCCGCACTGAACGCCGCGAAACCCGCACACCCCGCCGCAGCCGCCTGGGGCCCCGCCTTGGCCCCCAGGATGCCGCCGGTGATGCACCCGGCCGCGACGCTGTTGGTGAGGTCGTTCTTGGCGCGCAGCCCCTCGATGCAGCACTCGGTGCCCGAGTACAGCGCGCCCACGATGCCGAAGTTCTTGGCCGACGACCACGACCGCGAGCCCATGTCCTTGAAGCCGCGGCGGACCTGCTCGCGCCAGGGGAGGTCCATGATCGCTTTGCCTTGTGGCGTGAAGGTGGAGTCGTAGGACATCTTTGCGTTCATTTGTTAGTTTGGTGGCCGAATGGGGGGTGGGAGATGGGGGATGGGGAGAGGAGAGAGTTAGGGAGAGGGTAAGGAAGAGGGGCTGTGAACTGAGGGCAGAGGGGGTTGACATGCAACGCCAGCGTCTCGCTATCCAACTCTTCCTCGGAGTATGTGTATTGGAGTCGGGGGGGAGAGCGAAAGGGAAAGGGAAAGGGAAACATACACTAGCCATAAACAACCCGAACACACCACCCAGACCGAAACCCATCGTGCCGGAGATGACCGTCTTCACGGGGCAGGATTCCATCGCGCCGTACATCTGCAGTCACACTCGGGTCAGCAAGCCTGCTTTAAAAAGTACTTCCCGAATCGAGGACGTACCAGCTTCACCATCGCCTGCTCCTGCTCGCTCATGCCCTGCATGTTGGGGCCGCCGCCCATCCCTCCGAGGGGCGGGGTCACGCTGGGGAAACTCATGCTGTGCGTGATCGATGTGGTGATATAGAAGATTGACTTTGTAAGGTTGTCAACGGTGGAGACAGCCTGGCGACCTGCCGAAAGGACAAAGTGATGGGATGGAGAACGTATCAACACCGAGCTCTATCGCGCCCCGGACTTTTTGCGGAGACGGAGTGGCGGCCCTCTCGCAATTTTATTCACGGCGCGCCAGTACCGCCACTTGCGCAGGTTGCACGTGATACACTCCCGGACGCTATACGAGGCTGAGGCTCTACGAACGGCATTCTGTGCATGGAAAATAAATCGGTCGATAAATGTGTCAAGATAAGATAATGTGTATTGGCTATATCTAACAGACTGGCGATCACAGCCATCTATCCAAGAAGGAAAGTAAGTCAACGACTGCAAGAATGTAGCAACGCTCATCGTAAAGGGTATTGCGATCAACAATCATAACCCTGCGTAAATCCGTACTGGCCTCATGCCCCATGGCTGCAACCCAGCGTCTACCGTTCAATCTAAATTCAAGATCATATGCTGTATTTACAATGCGCTGGAATCAATCCCGCTTGTCGTCCTTGTCCGGGAAGAATTCCCTCCTCTCTGGCGACGGACTCAAACTGCGCTCCCACTCCGCCATCAGGTTCGACGCCGTGCGGGTCAACTTCGAAGGCGCCAGTTTGGTCATCGCCGGCCAGGGGATCCCGTCGGAAACGCTGGGATCCGGAATGCTGCTGTCGTGCAGCGGGCGCCAGTCGCCAAAGCTAGGTGGTTCCGTCAGGATGATACTCCCCGAGAAAAAGAAAGACAGAACTTACCTGGCGCTGGTGCGAGGGCTGCTGTTCTGCGTCATCGGCGACTGGTCATGCTTCGTCTCCAACGTGCTGCGACTGGACGACGGCGTGTGCGTCTTCTTCGGCTTCGGAGACTCCCACTCCCAGTTGTCTTCAACGTCCGGGGGGTTACTGTGGTCGCCCCATCGGGGTTCGTTCGGCCCGCTTGGGGTAGTGGCGGCTCCGCGAGCGCGAGGGGACTTCTGCCCAGGTGGATCAATGCCGAATTCACTCCAGAACGACGAATCGATATCCGCCGATTTGGAGTCTTTACCAGAATGTTTGCTCCCAGACCCCTTGCTCCCCGAGGAGGACCGCGACAGCGTAGTCCCTCCGTATACCGACAACCGATCCCGACTGCGTGATGTCGAACTGGACGACACCCGCTGGCGCACCGGTGGCACACCCCTCGACTCGGTCGCACTGATTCCCTCTTCTCCCACCGTGGCTTGTCGGATGTCCTCCAAGAACGTCCAGAGTCCTTCCTTCAAATCCGACGCCATCTGCTTGCCGGTCCGCACGAGGGCATCTCGCGACGGGGGCGGCATGGTGTTCCGCCACTGCGAAATCATGTCATCTGCAGGCTTCGAGCTCACGCCGCCCGCAATGGCACTGCGTTCGACAGAAGAGGGTAAGGTCGCCGACCGTGGAGATCGACCGATGCGTTGGCTGCCGGCCTCCGACTCGGACCCCGTATTGCCCTCCCCAGATCCCGTCGTTGGGGAAAGCAAGGACAGGGCCCGAGTGTGGGAGCCTCGGAAGACCCGTCGGCCATTGGCAGAAACGTTGGTGCCCTTGGTCGCGGCCGCGCGGAGGCTCTGCCGCCGCTCCAGCTCCCGGCTGAGTCGGACCTGGGCCGCCGACGAGCTGCCTGCACTGCTTACACTGTGGTCGCGGCGATGTGGGAAGGTGGGCTCGTCAGGGGATCGCAGGGAGACCAGCGGCTCGGCGCGATGGCTGATCTCCGTGCGTTTCTTTGTCTTCTCGGCCGACGCCCACTGCTTTTTCAAAGAGTCCAGCTCCGTCTCGGCCCGGTTCAACTCTTCCCGAAGCTCCAGCACTTTTCGCTCCTGCGAGGCGATCGCGGTCAGCAGACCCGAGCCGTCATCTTTCTCCTCAAAGGCCAGCGGGGTGCCGAGATGGGGGACCGGCGACTGGTGAGCGGAGGTCCGTGTCACGGGCGTCATCGATCCGGGAGACGCAAGACTGGGGTCGTAAGCTTCGGGTCCGGAGGGGATATTGATGGGAAAGTTGAGGGTAAGTCGCTTGGCGTGTCTGGCAGCACCATGAGGGCGAGGGGGGAGAGAAGATCGCTTGAGTTGGGTGGGAGTCCGGCCGGTCGGCGATGCAGGGTGATGGTCATGGTTGAGCTGGTCAGGCGACGATGGCAGCAGCTTCGCGGTTTGGGACGTTTCCGGCGCGGTTTCCGCCTCGCCCGTTCCCGGGAAATCCCCCATGACGGGCCAGCGTGTGGAGGATGGAGATCGTGGGCGAAGCTGATAAGGGTCGGTTCGGAGATTTATTGCCAGATCGAGAGCGTAATCATGACATTCGTTCCCTTGTTGAATGGAGAGAAGAGGGGAAGAGGGGAAGAGGGGAGAAATGAGAGGCCCACCGCCACAGTCGAGGGGAATTGCAATTGTTGGCTGATAAGAAAAGAATGTATGTACGTCTGAGGTGTATGAGTATGGATGGATGGATGGATGGGCCCGTCAGTAGTGATAAACAATCATCAATGACAACAATAACAACACACACACACAAAGGACAGTGGGCAGCAACCAGACTGGACACGGAAAGACAATGGGAATAGAAGGCAGACAAGAAGAAAGGGAGAAGGGGAAAGGAGAAAAGGAAGCGAGGGAAAGTTTAGAGAGAGAGTAGGTAAGGGAAGAGGGAAGGACTAGACCCAACACGGGGGGGGTCGTTTGGTGAAGGGTGAAGTTCACTAAAAAGACGGTGATTTCGGCAAGTTAGCGGGTCGCAACGCGCATCCCTTCCGCCTCCGCCTCGTCCAATTCCCGTTTCAGGGGAGAGGGGAAAATGAGAGAGAGAGAGAGTGTGTGTGTGGTGTCAGAGCATGTTCTTTGCCACTCAGTAGTGACGTCTGACTTGGCATCATTTGCACATACTCGTGTATTGGTGTACCCAAAGACATTGAGATAGTATAGTATACTCCTGTGCAAACTGCAGTCTCCGCTGGCCCTGATAAGGATGATCATATGGTTGACAGCCCCCAAGCTGAAACCCGCCAAATACTGCCCAGCACGAGTCGCTCCACGCGGGTGGTCAGTTTGATTACTTTGTCTATCTTTGCCTGCTTCTGGCCCTCCCCTGTCTCCTGTCTTTATTCCCATAGCAATGAGGGGGGGGGGGAGGCGGGGTGGTGAAATTGCCCAATTGCATTACTATGTCCACAATGCCATATACACACAAACACACAACACATGCAAGAATCACTTCGCCTTACTTACAGATCCCACCAATATTATCTCACTCACACCTTGCCAGAAATTGTCCAACAAAACTAAACACCTGTAGACACACACAAGGAGAACAACCTATGACAAGAAAAGAATGAATGGTAAATCACAAGCTCGCCAGAAAATTCGGCTTCGAAAATATAAGCAGTAAGAAATCTGAACGCCCAAACCGAGCCCTATCCGACTGTCAATTGGTACATAGGAAATTATAGTCGTTGGTAGACCAAAGATCACAAACACAAAGAGATCAGATATCGAAGAGAGGCCACGGTGCCCTCATGGTCGGTTTCTCGCCAGACGAGACAAGCATAGGGTATATCGTCGTCTGAAACTGTCTCCTTGGGGCTTTGTTGACCAGCAGCAGACCCGTGTGTTGACAGGCCATGAGAGCGCAAACAATACCAAGGGAGGGGGAATAATGCGACAATAAAGAAAAAGTAACAGCGCATATGAAGGAAAAGACCGCGGGCGGCCAGGTGACCGAATATTTCAACGCCGCATGTGAGCCCAATCTTTTGTACAATGATGAATATGTTGTGTCGCGCTGAGATTCGTAGGATTCGAGATCTCCAGATCGCGGTATGCAAGGGGTTGACGAAATTGCAAAGAGCCAATTCTAGATCCCAGGCCATCGATTGCGAAGGCCCTCAGACCAGCGCTGATAGAGCACATCTGACAACTGTTTGGTGTGCTCCATCCCCGGCACCTGTTGCCCGGGGAGGTTTGCAAGCTGGGCGGGTTGGAGGCTAGGCTCGGCCACGACGGCGCTCTGGCGGCGCCGGTGGGATTTGAGATGTGGGTTGCTCTGCGCCAAAACCAGTCGCGGCCTCTGTGGGGAATCGGCCGGTGGAGCTGCGGGTGGGACGAGACTGGCCAGCTTCGGGTCACTAACCATCCACCAACACGAGCGTTGTTAGCAACCCAGAAACTTTATTTGACAAGTACTACTGCAGGGGAGGCACGCTTGCTTACCTCTGTAGCTTCTCCGTCGTCGCTCTGAGAATATGATAGAGTCCCTCGGGATCGACCATCTCCAGATCACTCCAGGCCTCCGCCAGTCGTGAGATCGCTTCCCGCTTCTCTTGGTCGCCCGTGGTCCCCAACACTTCCTGGCAGGCGAGCCCGACCGCCTTGCTGTACGCCCGACGCCCCAGTTGCGCTTCCTTGCTGTTCGGCTCGGAAAATAGCGTCTTGGGACTGGCGTTTTCGTCCCCTCCGAACAGGTACTGCGGCGGGTAAGATGCGTCGCTAGGGCTCTTATTGTCCGACACCCGACGGAACTGCCGCACCGTCGACGGGCTGTTGCCGAAACTCATATCCACTCCGAGTGGCTGCTTCACTCCACTCGACCGTCGCTTGGCCCGCCGGATTGATGGACTGTGGTCGGGAGCTTGAGCTCGTCGTACCGCGGTGTTGTTCGTATGCTTTGACGGAGGGCTGGACACGTAAAGATCGTCCATCATGTCGGCGGTTTCGTCGAAAACCCAGTCTTCCTGCGGCTCTGGGTCTGGCTCTGGCCCATTCTCCTCATCGTCTTCGACTTCACGTATAGTCGTCGTAGAAGCTTTCACGGTATCGAAGATCCACCCGTCGTCGTCGTTCAGGTTCCGAATAGTATTCCTGTGCGACAGAAACAGTCAGTACAAGGAGCATGGACAATGGAAATTGGATTTGCATACAGCGACTCCGCATAATATTTAATCTTGTGGGTCACTCCTCGTCCAGCATCAAAATCCTGCTTGCGATGAATCAACTCCTGTAGCGCCTCCGTTTTTCCCGCATTGCGGATAAATTTATGTCGCAGAAGCTCCTTCGCGCTCGGTCTCCGGTCGGGGTCCTTGGTCAAACACTGTGCGATGAAGTCTTTAAAGGTATTGCTGTACTGATCTCCCTGTAGGCGCGGGGCGGGTTCTTTGGGGATAAGGAAGAGCACCTTCATGGGGTGGGTGCTCGCATGAGGCGGCTCGCCGTTGATCATTTCGATCGCCGTAATTCCGAGCGACCAGATGTCCGCCTTATAATCATACCCAGCCTGTTGAATGACTTCGGGGGCCATCCAGAACGGTGTTCCGACGAATGTGTTGCGCTGAGATTTGATGTTGATCAATTGCGCGGCAACTCCGAAATCCGCCAGCTTCACTTTGCCCGTGTGCGACAAAAGTACATTGGCGGCTTTGATGTCGCGGTGGATCTTGCCTTCGCTGTGCAGATAGTCGAGTCCGAGTAGCAATTGTTGGCAAATGATGGCGACGTGTGCTTCGTTGAAGACTCCGGGTTTGAGCTAGGGAGTATTAGCAGAGGGGACGGAGCTAGTCGACTCCTCAGCTGCGGAGATGCTGGGTGGGTTATTACCAGGTCCAGACACGATCCTCCCCCGAGGAATTCCATCACAATCCACAACTTATGTCCTCGTAGAAAACTAGCCTTGTATTGCGTGACGAATGGGCTGGCGCAGGTGGCAAGGACCGAGATCTCCTGCTGGATTTCCTGGATATCGTCTTCACTGGACTCGAGATCGATCTAGAAAGGCCGAAAGTGGTCAATCGGACGATCGGAGAAAGAAAGAGACCAGTCACACGCACATGCTTGATCGCTACGATCTCGCCCGTAGCCTTGTCAATGGCTTTGTATACCGTTCCAAAGCTGCCACCTGTAGCATGCTGGTCAGCCATCATCGGCGCAATCGGCTCAATTGGACGGCAGAGACTTACTGCCCAGCTCTTCCATCATCTGGTAGTGACTCGCCATGTCGTCCTCCATTTTGATCGCGTGCAAGCCGTAGCTGGAGGGCTATCGGCGCAGTTGAAGAATCGGGGAGAGATAGCTCAGAGAAACAAATAGAAAAGAGAAGGGGGAAAGAAGCAAAAAAGAAGAAAAAGAAAAGAGAGGAGAGCTAAAACAGGGCACACAAGGGGGGGGAGCACCCGCACCGCCAGTCAGCTATTTATTTCCTGTCCGGCGAAAGGACGGATGGAGCTGGAGCTGGAGCTGGGAGCAAGGACGAGTGGAACCTGGCCCTGTAGATAGAAGATAGAGAAATGAGGGGGAAAGAAGTGGGAAGATAGCGAGTGCTTCGATAGGATCGATACCTACTAAACTGACTTAACCGTCCCTCTTACCATGAAAGTGCCCCATTCTTTCTACTGGCAGCCGCTTCTCTTCCATGGTACGCGGCAGAGACAACAGGCGGTAGTGCATGGCAACCATGGATCAGCTACCGAGTCACCGCCCCGGGCACCGCTGCACCGCTGCACCGCTGGTATTTCCCGGCCTTGATTGGGTGCCAAATTCCCCGTTTGCGGCTGTTGCCTCAGGCACGCTGCAACCCGCAGTACCCCAGCCCTGCATGGTGCAGGTGATGCAGATGGGGCATGCAGGCCACCAGGTACGCAAAGGTCAGCAGGACTTCATCGGTATGGAGAATTATGATCCAGCAAATTAAATATCCGCATTGGCGTATTTAGTATTTTGCAGATTCCAATGACTATGAGTATAATCCTGCTCCAGCTTTTTCCAACTTCAGACCCCTCTCTGCATCACATTTACAATCCATAGCGTGGTGCCACCGTAGCGTGTCTAGATCTAGATATACTTATACGGGTTCATGATTCCGTTCTGTATCGAACCAGTTAGTTAGTTGTAGTCCAACAGCTCAATGTAAAAAGCTCAACGGGGCATGATAATCCTTACCGGGTCATACAAGTTCTTCAACTGCTTCATCAACTTCACCATCGTCTCATTCTGGCTGTATCCGATAAACTCCTTCTTCGCCAGACCTAGGCCGTGTTCCGCGCTGATGCTACCTTTGCGCTGCTGGATCCACTCATACACCCAAGGCTCGATGGCCTTCTCGACTTCCTTGTTGTACTGCCGCACAGAAATGTTCAAGTGCAGGTTGGAATCACCCATGTGACCATAGCCGACAACGGCCCGAACAGGGAAGGAATCGTCATCACCCACGAAGCCAAGCTTCGTCAAACGCTCCTTGCAGTCCTCAACCAGCTGGTACAGCTCGGACAGAGGAATGGAGACGTCATACTTATAGGTTCCGCCCAGGTGGCTCAAAGCCTCCGTAATACCCTCTCTCCACCGCCAGATCGAGTGAAATTGGGTCTCATCCTGAGCCAAAACACCATCTGCGACAATACCCTCGCCCATGACATGTTCCAAGAAGGTCTCCAGCTTGGCCATGTCGTGTTCAGCGTTGGAACCACTAGTCTCCACCAGACAGTAGAAAGGATACTCGGTCTCGAGGGGATAGTTGTTGCCAGTCGACTCGTGAACCAGCTTCTGAGTGCGCCCATCCATCAATTCGAAAGCGGAAAGGATTTCGGACAGGTGTCCCTTGGCTTCCTGGTAAGCCTTGCGGACCATGTCATAGCTCTCCAGACCGAAATAAGCGACGTTGACGGCCTTGGGGCGAGAAGGACATTGAATAGAGACCTTCGTAATGATGCCAATGGTACCTTCGGCGCCAATGAACAGTTGCTTCAAATCATAGCCAGTGTTGTTCTTGCGCAGGGTCGACATAGCATCCACGACGGTTCCATCTGCCAGCACGGCTTCAACGCCAAGCACAGTACCGTGAAGACTGCCATAGCGGAGCAGACGCAGACCACCGGCGTTGGTGGCAACGTTACCGCCGACATGGCATGAGCCCTTAGCACCCAGGTCCAGCGGGAAAAGGTGGTTCCGCTCGGCCAAGTACTGGTCAGCCACCTCCAGGATGACACCAGAGTCAACCACCAAGACTCCGGAGGCTTCATCGAAGGAGTGGATCTGATTCATGCGAGAGAGGTTGATGACAATCTCGTCGAAGACGGGCACGGAGCCTCCTACCAAACCCGTGTTGCCTCCCTGGGGCACAACGGCCAACTTCTTCTCGTTGCAGTATTGTAACACCTTGCTAACCTCCTCAGTGCTCTGGGGCTTCAGGACCAACTTGGTCTGGCCACGGTACTTGCGCATCCAGTCGCTGTTGAAGGGTTCGATATCATCAGCGCTGTCAGCGGTCACTCCATCGATCACGGCGGACTGTGCGCCCAGCAGCTCCTTGAAGTATTTCACATCCTCGACGGAAATTTCGGCGAACTTCGGATCGCGCTTGAGGTTAGGATAAGCATTGGTGGTGTACTGAATCTCCTTGGTCGCATTGGCGCGGGCGGTAACGGTGAAGGTGCGTGTGGCGGCCAGGGAAGGAGTCTGGACCGCAGCGACAGGGCGGAACAAGCAGCGAGGCTTGGGCACACGAGCCCTTCGCAGAGCGACTGAAATATTCCTAGCACCGGACATGATGTGGGGGCGGGGTGGAAGGTGAGGGTGAGGAGAAAGGCACTGGAAGAGTCAACAGAGCAGCGAGCGGCGAGCGGCGAGCGGCCATCTAAAAAGCCTAACTTACCCCCCGATGGCGGAGATAAAGTCGTCGTCTCGGCTTGGAGTCAGCGGCGCCGAACTGTCTTTCCGTCCCGACGGATGTTGTGGCCTCAGGCAGCACAAAGGTCCGGTCCGCGGGAACCTGAATAGTAATCACTTGCCTCAAGTTGGGTGGTCGATAGAGTTAAGCATGGGTTAGTAGCTTAAACTAAGTACTCTATAAGTTAATTCAACAAAGTATATGCAGTATATGCCCAACAAATGTCAACGATAGAACCACGCGGTCATTCTCCAAGCAGAAGCCACCCCGAGCTCAAGCCAGTCAATATTCAACATTCATTATTCAACAATGTGAACTCTCGTTTTCTTGCCAGGACTGTAACCTTCGTCTTCACATAGTTTTTCTCCTCCAACTCAACTCTCCACTGCATGGATTGACCGGTCCTCAATCAGGATCTGATCGCACCTACCAGGGGCGAGGGGCAACAGCAAGCGACAAGCATCATGGCTGGAAGCCAAACGGTCCTTCTGCAGCGATGCCTGTTGAGGGAAAAGAGCGACAAGCGTCGCCAAGCCCGTTCGTCACTGGACATTGGTGTCATGTCCCTCGTCATCCTCGATCAATAAGCGATACAGTAACAATAATAGTAAATACTGGGTACCTGATCACATCACATTCATCGCGGAGGACAGCTCTCCAGGAATCCACCGCCCATCGACCTTCCTCGACCCTCATCGAAGCAGCGATCCAGCGATCCCTCGATCCAGACCCGACCTCGTCTGGCTTCGGTGTGTCTTTTCGAGCGAAACCACCACGCGGTTCTTGTTACGTCATTACAGGTGCCCCGCAGCCGACCAGAATCTCCTCCTCATCGTCCCAGCGTCTCAAAGCTCGATTCTTCTTCCATCATGTCCTCTTCTGACAACCCCATTGCAAATATGTCTACCTGTGTTCTCGTTACCGGCGCCACTGGCCTTTTGGGCCGCCAGGTCTTCAATACTTTCAAGCACTCCGGATGCCTCGTCGTCGGCCAAGGCTACTCACGAGCCATCCCACCCACGATACAGAAGGCCGACTTGGAAAACCCCGATGCGATCAGAGCTCTCCTTGACGAAGCGAAGTAAGTCTTTCTGCCTGGTTGAAGCTACAATTTGTGCACCACAATCTCTCTGGTGAGATTCAATGCTGATACTGATCTGCTGCAGGCCTCAGATCGTCGTCCACTGTACGTGATGCCAGGCTTGCAAAAGCAACTAATTTGTCCCTCCTTGGATTCTGACCTCTGCAGGTGCCGCCAACCGGTCTCCCGACTTGTGCGACAAGAACCCTGAGCAAGCGCGCCGAGTCAACGTTGACGCCACCCGCGTTCTCGCAGAGGAAACGTCGCGCCGTAGTATCCTGCTCATCTACATCTCGACCGACTACGTCTTCCCCGGCATTGAGGGGGAAGCCCCGTATGAGGCCGATGCGGAGACCAATCCGCCCAACATGTATGGCCGGTTGAAGCGGGATGGTGAGCTGGCAGTACTGGAGGCCACGAAGGAGACTGGTCTCGGGCTGATCCTTCGCGTGCCCGTACTGTACGGAGTGGCCAAGGACAACTCAGAGAGCGCCGTCAACACTTTGGTTGATGCGGTGTACAAGGCGCAAGACGAGACTGCGGGGATCAAGATGGACGACTGGGCACAGCGGTACCCGACCAATACGGAGGACGTCGCTCGGGTGTGCCGTGACATTGTAATCAAGTATATTAAGGAGCGTCGTCGCATTCAAGAGCTGCCCAAGATCTTGCAGTTCTCGTCCGAGGACCGGATGACCAAGTACGAAATCTGTGAAAAGCTAGCGGATGTGCTCGGACTGTCCCTGGTAGGGATGATCAGGAACAAGGAGGGGAATGACCCCAACTCGGCCGTGCAGCGTCCCTACGACGTGCATCTGTCCACTAAGGTGCTGAAGGATCTGGGGATTGAAGTTCGGACTGTGGACTTTGTGGCATGGTGGTAAGTAGACGCCTGGCATGTTTGTGTGTATGTGGCAGCATCTAACACTTTGAATTTACAGGCGAAAGTATCTAGGAGCGTACAAGAAATGATTGGCGGTCCCACACCAAGGAATAAAAATGAAAACTGAGATAGAGAGATGCTGCCGTTGGCGGTGGTAAAAGTCCTTTTGAGGTTGCATCCCAAACGACCGCGATGTCCATGGATTATTGGTTAATCACCGACTAATGGAGAAATAGCTCGCTAATAGCATGCAATATTACGTATTATGTATTATGATGATACAATAAATGTTTGTTAATGTTTGCGTTTGTGTTTGTACTTGTTCTTGTACTTGTACTTGTACTTGTACTTGTGTTTTAGTGTGCTGTCCGGCAATCAGGAGCAAGACGAGCTGGGTTGAATTTGACAGTTTGGGGGTGGCTCAGAAATAGCGCATTTACCGGGGGTCAGACCCGGGCCGGGAAGTAGTCAGTGGTGGTGGCTGAGGCCATGGCATGGCAGTGATCCACTCAGATCTACTCCGTCCGTACTAGCCCATGACTTGGATCGTTTAGATGATAGACAAACAATCCAGAACTATAGAGTCAATCCCAGTGTGGACACAGGACACAAAGCATAATCGTATTTATAGTGGACGGAGATCCCATGTCAAAGGCAGATCCTCTCCTCCATCATTCGAGAAGAACCCTGAGCAGGGGCGATTCCCATCGCTTCAATCCACAGGACTTTCCCTCACAATCTGGGGCAATTGCGGGCAATGCTGGGGCCAAGCCTAGCCTGACCGAAAACAGCCGCTATCTATTTTAGTCTAGACTTTTTTTTTTAATCTTACCGGTAGTTTATCAATTTTTTTATCTTAATTTTCTGGGTCTCAATTTGACTGTCTTTCCCCAGCCGTGATGGAGGATGCTCTTGGGCTCTTGAGATCACACGAACATTTTAATTAATTTAAGATCTCGAGTTCAGGATCACCTGCCAGCCCAATAGGATCTTTATCCTGACCTATAGTAGAATTCTTATTCATCGGAAATTCCAATCCCTTCCCGTCCCTTTGGAGACTTCTTCCCTTTCGTCTTGGCTACTTCAAAGTTCCACCAAACCCTTCCCCCCCTTACGTCGAGCAGGTGGTGGTCAGGAAAAGAAAAGAAAAGAAAAGCAAAATAGAGCACCACCTACAGACGTTTACAGGAGGGGAAATAAGCAAAAAAAAAAAAAAAAAAAAGGAAAGAAAAAGAGAGTACAGTGCAATGGGATAGAAACGGGTTTGTCTGAATGCGGCCCATTTCTTTCTGTCCGTCCGTCTGGGTCTGGCACTGCTTCTTCTTCCAGTCCCTCCACTAAGTTGTCTTTCTTGACTCCGTCCCGCGGTGGAAATTAGGTCCTTTCGTTGCGAGGTCGTTTTGCGCTGCTCTCCACAAAAAGGGCCTGGACAATGCGTTCTTGACGGAATCTAGCATCGTGGTCCCTCAGTTACACTCACCAGCTTCTCTCCTCTACTCTTCTCTTTTCTTCCCTTCCTTCCTTTTTCCTTCCTGCCTGCCCGCCTACATTCATCACATCCTCCTTCTTGAAACTCCCTCCCCTCCTTCTCCCCGCCCCCCCTTTCTGCGTTCTATTTTTTTCTCTGGGAAGAAACAGAATTCTCCTTAGCTCTTCACTCCCCCCCCCCTCTTTACCCCCTCATTGTACGGGGAAGTTTCCAAGTGAAGCCGTGATTGTATCCCTGTGAAACATGTCTGCAACGTTTAGGGGGTGGAGACACGCGAACACTCATTATTTGACCCAAATCCTTCTCCCTTGTGTCGACTGGATCGACCAGTAGACCTTCCTGCCTCCCTTGTGAAGTCCTGTCCTCTTTTCTCAGTGACTGCTGTCAACACGTTGCTGCAACTTGATCACTTCCGGAACCTTAGCGACTGACCCAGCTGCCATCAACAACCCGCAGGCTGCCTGATATCATCGTTATTGCGGCAGTTGGAGCTAAAGCAGCCAAGTGACTTTTGTTCGGCCTTACAGGGAAAAGAAAAGAGAGCTAAAAGATCCATCGCAATCTAAAACCTGTTTCCAAACGCGCGCCATCGGCTACTTGACGCAATTGAGGGTCTTACGCTCTGCGATTTCTCTGTGACCGTGTGACGCCAAAGAGCATGTGCCTGGGCAGCAATTGAGATACTACTACCAGTATATCTACACTTCATAGATCAGCAGCGCAGAGCGGATTTTCTTTCCCTTTTCCCCACACTTCGATCAACTACTTCCACGACTTTTGGCTCTTTCCATTTTCTCTGCCTATAATCGCAGTGGGGCTCTTTCCCAGCCATGGCCATGGAGACACCCGACATGATGTCTGCTGGCCAGCATGCAGCACCCATGAAATTTTCCCGATACCGAAGTGTACGAAAGGCGGCGACCAAACAGCCACCAGCATTACAACCACCGCCAACTGGAACGTCCAAATTCAACCCCCCGCCACCTCCACTTGCTCACCCGCCAATCGCTGCACTTCCGGCCTCGGTGTCGCATGACCATGCCGCCAGCGCCGATGCCGCCGCCGCAAACAATAATAGCAGCACTGCTATTCAAAGAAGCATGTCGCGGTATCGTCGCAGAGTCCCGCCGCCTACGCAGCAGCCCTCGGAGGCTATATCACAGCCTCCTTTGCCCACTTCTGCACCTGCCTATAAATCACAAGTAGCAAGCAATGACACCTCAGTCTCGCAACCTCCGCAGGATCGACCTGAGGAAACAGAGATGGCTCGTATTCGACAAAAGTTAGCTCTAAGACTGGCCACCCGAGAAAAACGGGTCCCCGATGACACCGAAGACGAAGATTCTGAACGCGACAGACATCGACAGAATGCAATGGACCGTCTGACTGGGGGTGAGGATGCACCGACTTCCAACCCCTTTGAGACACCCACACGCGACAAGCCGGCCAAGGAGGTGCGTGAAAAACGCGCAAACGGAGGAAAGGCCGCGAGTCGCCGTACAAGCCGTGAACCCAAGCGACGGTCCCTCAACATTCCGACAGCAAAGGCTACTCAGGTCAAAAGTTCCAAGGGCGTTTCCTCCGCGAGTAGTCCGACCGAAGCTAGTCCTGTCGCCCAATTCCCAGATGCTCCTGTATCCGCCGTGAATGCACGGGAGCGTCGCGTTTTGGTCCAGTATAGAAAAACATCAATGAAAGTCTGCGTCAATCCCTCAACATCCGCGCAAGATATCCTCGCTACTGGCATGAATTACATGGCCAATGGGGAGGATCCTGGGAAATTCATTCTGATGGAATCTTTCGCCGATTTGGGACTAGAGCGGCCGTTGCGACGATACGAATGCGTACGAGATGTGATGAACTCTTGGGCCCACGATGAGCAGAACTCATTGATCATTGTTCCTGCAGCCAGTCTCGATGCCCTTGCTCTGCTCGACGCCCAGAGCGTGTCACTTGGCCAGCCGGCGGAGACGACGTTCTACTTGTATTACTCTCAACGGCCCCGCAAATGGGACAAGCGATATGTTACTCTACGGTCAGATGGACAAATTACCATATCCAAGAAGGAAGGCCAGGAGCAAACCAACGTGTGCCACCTCTCCGACTTCGATATATATTCGCCAACAGCGAGCTCTTTGGCAAACAATGTCAAACCACCGAAGAAGTTTTGTCAAGCCATCAAGAGCCAGCAAAAATCCACAATGTTTCTAACGACCGAGAACTTCGTCCACTACTTCTCCACTAACGACAGAGACATGGCCGACAACTGGCAGAAGGCGGTCCAGACCTGGCGCAGCTGGTACCTGGTCACCATGCTAGGAGCAGGCAAGCCTTCGGAGACGGACAATGCCACATCCTCTGATGAATCGCTAGCAGCTGGGAAGCGGTTTCAGAAGCCTTTATTGAACCCTTTTGAAGAGGCTAGCAATGAGGTCAAGGCGCCTGCAATGCCTCTGGCAGAGCGCACGCAGCCTACAAAGGCCAAGGAATTGTTCTCCCATAAGAAAAGCATCCGCGAGCGTGGACCTCCTCCGACATCATTCCCCAAACTCTTGACTGGGGAAGCTGATCTTGCCGCAGAGTCTTCTGATGAAGCTACTTTCTCAGCCAGTGGTCTCTTAGGGCGGACCTACACCATGCGCCAACGGGCCATGAAAGAGCGTGAAGAGCAAGAAAAGCGTGACAATGAGGACCGCCTCCGTCAGGGCCTCGTGGGCACTATGGGCACTCGCCGTGTCAATACCGGTCCAAACAGCCGGTCCAACACCATGACGTCGACTCACGCGCCAGACTTCAGCGCTGTGAAACGGTCCCAGTCCGTCAAGGCAAAGCCTCTGGTGGATTTGACACCGGTGTATAGCGAACCCCCACAGCATATCCGCAAGGGAAGGGGGGTTACTGTTGACCCGGGCGTCCCCTTGATCGACGCAGCGACCGGCCCTGAAGTCCCAGGAGGCATTCAGATACCGTCGGCTACTACCTGGCGCCGGCCCCCAGTGCCCGCTGAACCGATGTCCGCCGTTGAACCCAGAACTCGGAAACGGTCAAACACCGCGCGGAGTATCAATGGTCAACAACGTTACCACCACACCGCTCCTACCACCCCGATCTCCCCAGTGGATCTCGTTTCCGGCCGTGACGGCCCCTTCATACCCCATAGCCTACTGGCTCGCGCTCAACCGGCGCCCGCACCAGGCCCTCCCGTGGGCCATGGCGTGGCAACTGGAGATCGCAATGCCACCAAACCGATGCTGGATATGTCCCCCGAAAATCCTTTCGCCGAGGGAAGCTTGCTTCGGGGCTTGTAACGGCAACACATCCCACTATCCCACTACCACCCAAATTACGATTTTAACGGCACTTGGGAATCACTTAGCAACGGCGTTAATACCCTTTCGGCTGGGATTTTGTGTAATCACAGCGATCTAGAACGGCATGGCTTGAATCTGCCTCTTTATTGCCTCGTTTACAATATACCTTCTGGATTATAGTCCGAATTCGTGGCATGGGTTGTACTTCTAGTTATATTTGATCTTTATTTGACAATGCTGGTCTGGTGATCAGTGCAGGTCCTTACATCTATATCCATCTACCATGCGATGTACTGAATTTGAAACAATCAAGTTTGTTCTTAGCTTGACATGCTTCCAGATTGATTTCCCATGATCGATGCCAACTTTTAGACTTGCCTACGGTCAACTTTCTATGAATGACAAACCCTTGATGACTAGATTATCCGCCTTGAAAATTGGGCAACTTAATTACTATTGTAT